AAAAAAAAAGTAAAACATTATTGAAAAATTTAAATAGTATCTTCCCGCTTTAAAAAATAATCAAAGAAGAATAAATAAATGAAATAAAATTTAAAAAAAAAGCGTAATACAACCAGCCTATAAGTCCCCCCCCCCCTTACCCTTCTCGTTACCTCAATGATCTAATCTGAATTATTACAGATAAAAAGAATATTCATTGAAACAGCAAGAAGCATTCATGCTGCCCTGAAAGCGAGAGGGGAAAAATCCCTACAGATTTTCCCTAAGAAGGTACCTTTTTTTCCGGGACCTTTTTTTCCGTCTACCTTTTTTTCCGGGACCTTTTTTTCCGTCTACCGGTGTTCTCATAGAGCGGTAAATTTTACCATTTTCTCTTAGTTTTAACCACTTTTTTTTCGTGTATACACTAATTACTAATAAATATGCCGCACCTAATAAATTGCTAAAGAAATATATTTAAGGAGCAAAAAAAATAAAATAAAATAACATAACAGAATAAATAAGGGTTGCCGTTTGAAAACTAAAAAATCCTCCTACGACAAAACATGAGGACAAATGGTGTGATTTGGAGTTGCTTTTAACCTACTTTGCAGTGACAAGATCAGTAAATCATGACCTCTTGCTTTCATTTTGACATCGGACATCTATATCTATCAATCACTTTGTGAAATATATTATTCTGATCATCGTAGGTACAAAGACGTGTTCAGGCAAGTCCGATAGGTTTAAAGATTTACGCCATTATATGAATCATAAACAGAATTTATGTAAAAAAAAAAATCAAAAACATATTAAGTATTCTAATCTCACAGTTGGGTGATTTTTCGGTAGTTAAATATTTTACTATAAAAAAAAAAGTTAAAATCGATTTTTATTAACGTTTATGAAATAAGCGAGTAGTTACAATACATGCTCAAGCAAGTCTAATAGAATTATGATTTACGTAAATATGTAAATCCAAAAACAGGATTTATGTAAAAAAAATTAAATATCGTGGATGAAAAAAATTATAACTGGCTATTTAATGGTTTTTCGAAATTTCTTTTAAATATTTAAATCCATGTATATCAAAAAGTACATCTAAGACGTATGTAATGTAGTAGCATAAGCAATTATACGTACAATATGTATTCTCATAAATAAAAGATGCAAACAGAAAAACATATAATATTCATATAAAGTAAATTAGCTGCAAAGGTACAAACACATGTTCACGCAAACTCAATCGGTTTTATGTTTTACGTTATAGTGTGTGCGTGTGTATGTATCTTGGCCAAAGGATACTGTCTGCTTGCCAAGGTATATATATATATACCACTACAAAAAATATAATTCGAATTCACCAGGTATATAAGACATGTTAACTCGATTCTATGGTGGGGTACCTTTACATAGACGAAGGTTGACATTGTCGAAAACAACTCCCCCCCCGATATTGGTGACCCGGACATGATGTGAACACGCCTACCTTGGCAGAAACACCCACTACGATTTGAACACGGAACTTCGATGGATGGTCCGCATTGAACAGTTGACTTGCTACTTGTGACTGCGACATTGTCCTCCTCACGCTGTTGCTTCTCAGTCTCGATCACGTACGACGTAAACACTCGACTGCTAAAGGCAACACAGGAGCGACTACGACCGTGAACTTAACACAGCTCTCACAATCAGCTCTCAAAATGTACGGTGATCTTAATACAACTCTCCCGGCTTCTCATAAAACAGCAATGAAACAACTAGTGGTATCCGTTCATCGAATTCTATCACAGATATAATTCTGGTGGGGGAGTACTGTAGTGTATCTACCACTACAAAAATATAATTCCAATTCACTAGTATATAAGACTTGTTAACTCAATTCTATGATGGGATACCTTTTCATAGATGAAGGTTGACGTCTTCGAATTCTACATCCCCTACATTGGNTTATATATATATATATATATATAATTTAATTAAACTACTATAAGTAGTAAAACTCAAAATAGTATATCTATAATATATGCGTAAGTTAAAATATGTCTTGTTTGGAATATATAATTGTAAGCTTCATTCAATACGTCCATAAGTACGTTAAAATAATAGAAGTAAATAGAAGATGGTAAACAAAAATAAATATTTTATATCTAATATAGAATAGATGAAATTCAAGATTTAAGATATATTATTGATTTCGAAACTTTATCTAAAATAATGAATGTATTTAAAAGAGTCCTCTCTAGGAATAAAAAAGAGCAGGACCCTGCCTCTCTGAAAACGCAATCTCTGTACACATATTTTTTTTTATCAAAAAAAGTAAACTAACAAAAAATTATTAATTAATAAACAATTTGAAAGCTTTTTTCCATAATTCAAAATGAACGTCATGAAAAAATGAACATCTAAAGGATT